TTTGATCCATACATTGGTAATGTCTGACTGGGCCTCGTGTCACTTTATGTTCAATAAATTGGGCCCTGAGGTCAAAAAGGTTAAGAACTCCTGGTATAAAGTACCTCAAAGTGATACTTGAGTAAAAGTACAACTATCTTATCATAAAACTACTTTGGTAAAAGTTAAAGTCTTCTCTAAAAATATTACTTGAATAAAAGTCTTAAAGTAGCTGATATTTTTTGTACTTAAGTATCAAAAGTAAATTTCTGACACAAAATCTACTTAAGTATTAAAAGTAAAAGTACTGAGTATAAGTGAGCAGTTAGATTTTCAAAAATGACATTTACTGGAAGAAATTTTTTTTTCAAATGGTGTGCCGCTGTGATGGGTTGTGTACAAGCTAATAGTGTGTCAGAATGGTATATATTTATACTTCTCATCCAACGACAATTAAATTCACTCTATCAGGAGACACAATTTATCAGGAAAGTATTTTTTTAAATAATAACAACTCAGAATAAAATAGGAGTAACGACTTTCTACTTCTTATCTTTTTAAAAAATGTAGTGAGTAGAAAGTACAGATAATTGTGTAAAAATGTAATGAGTAAAAGTAAAAAGTACGCTGAAAAATAATTACTCAAGTAAAGTACGGATAACCAAAATTTGTACTTAAGTACAGTATCAAAGTATTTGTATTTAGTTACTTTACAACTCTGTCAAAAAGTAATGTTTGAATATACTGTACCTCTACAACTCATTACATTTTGGAGTCACCCTAATTGAAAATGGTCATTAGAGCTAATGGACATCACCTTATATAGAAGTGTCTCTTGGCTCGATCAGTTTTATTGAGCTAAAACTGACTTCATAAATTTGCTGAAAAGCAGGTGATAATAAGAAGCTCTGCATCCTTCAAGCCTTCTGATTAACCAGGCTGTGATCTGATTCTTGCAGGTTCCTCGGCCCATGGCTTTAACTCCAGTCAGCACTAGCATGCCTCCATTCCCACAGAGCTCTATGACCCAGGAGGAGCTGATGGTCTCAATGGTGACCGGTTTGGCTTCCCTGACCTCCCGTACCTCCATGGGTGTCCTGGTGGTTGGTGGTGTGGTGAGGACTTTAAACCATTTAAACTGTAGATTATCTGAAGATGTGGATGATGGGACGGGTTAAAGTAATTTCCTGGTGCTCCCGCTTCAAGAATGTTGTCCGACATGCTTCAAACTTCAATCAACTGATCTCTGTGGTGCCATTAACATTATTTATTTAATTTAAATTGAAACTACTTTTTGTTTGATTTGAAAAAAAAATTCTCAGAGGTTCAAATAAATTGTATCTATATAAATTAGCAA